TTAAGTTTTTAAGTCTAAGTCATAATAACTACACTATTATTATATTTCATCTATTACAAATCACCTAACAGAAACCTTTAGGAGACTTAATGTTACTATAATTTTCACACGATATATTTCACGTCGATGTCGATAACGGGTCAACTCGAGATGGAAATTCTGTGTAGGTATGCCACAAGTTCACATGAATAATTGAATTAACAATAAGTACGTTAAACCTGATTGACTGTGTGATATGTTGTGAAACTTCACTGATAAGGAATAAATAATAAAGACAGATATCAATTATTCTATGTTACCAGGGCTACCATATTTAAACAATTTATAAAGTACCCGAGTCCCGAACGAATTCGTATATTACGATTTGTAAATGGTGACTGCGAATACGTGGGTTAACCAATTTTTAAAAGAACGTTTGATTAAATTTAATGTTATTTTCCTTTTTTGATGCCGCGGCGCGAGGTGGCAAGCCCCTCGGATGTTCGGCTTTTGAGGGACGCCATCGTGGTGATGAAAGAGCCTGGAGTATATGGTGTTTTCACTTAAATCACCACGACCGGCGGCCTGCCTCTGGCGCCGTACTCTGGGGAGGAACCGGACAATGTGGTTTCTACCTTAAGGCAACGGAAAATTTTGCCCTGCTAATCGACCTAATTACTAAAGTTACTTTCCTAACACGTCTGTGTATATTTTCTTCTAAGGCTTCAGCTATCAGCACTTTTTTACAGTCATCCTTCAGTGGTAAATTTCGTATCCACTAATTTTTACACATTGACGTAAACGCCTTCGATTACCTTTGCCAGTAGAGTCTAACAAACTACTCGTAACTAATAGCTAAAACTTGCAGAGCATATCTTATAATGTTTTAATGTAACTAATTGTAATTTCCAAAATTTCTTAATTCGGTTGCTTTTTATGTTACCTACTTCAAATTATTCAAAAATTAATAAACCAATTAGGATGTTTTTTTGGGAAGTTTAAGTTCCTGTTTAGTCCCATAAATATTTGAAAACTACAAGGAAAATATATAATTTTTATTTGATGTTAAATTGGTGTATGTGTATGTTTATATAGTGTGTATGTGTTGTACTTCTGAACTTCTAAGTAAATATAATAATGTATGTATTAATGAATTTATGTATATTGGTTTTATCTAAGGTAGGTTAATCTCTTATTTACCAAACTATTATGAACTATGACAAATTTAATACTCTATCTTTGCATCTACCGCATCATATTTCTACATCACCTGAAGTTTGACTGGGAGTGAATGCCTCATCGCGTCTTTGTACAAAATGTGCATTAAGTTTTAAATAAATAAATTTTAAAGCATACTTCTTTATAGGTAATTAGTTAATCAAGCGAAGGTGCCTATTTCATAGTAAGTGTTTTAGACTTCAGTGTTTCTGATTTCAGTCTATGGTAGGTGTTTATTATGGTCTCAATCCTGTATAAAGCTTCATTAAATTGATCGCGTGACGATTGGGAGTCGTTGACACGGCTCGATGACGCCACTCTACCCACATACACCGTATGTGTTCTTTCTATGGCGACTATTTTAACCTATACCTCATATTTGGATACAAGAACATTTAAACAAAGGGAACTCTTTACCTGAGAATTTGTGCTGAAAGTGGGTGTTTTTTTTTTCATAATGTGATGGTTCACCTGATGGTAAGTGGGGATGATAGCTACTATCGTCCATGGAAACTTGCAATTTAAAAAATCATACGGGCGTTTATTGGCATTCGAGGATGTAGTACGTTGTTTTGTAGAAAGTTCGAAGAAGTTCGAAAATACTGCAAGCGACAATTTGTTGCACACAATGGTTCTGTGAGGCAAAAAAGATCCAGGCAATATTTATTAGGTGGGATGGAATCCCAAATAATTGGAAGCCTAAACCTTGCCTATTTATACATGACACGAGACAAATGCTTTTAAAGATGAAACAAAACACGTGTATACCCGTAACATTTAAAGTTCTTGCAATATTATCAGTGAGTTGAAGTGTAATAAGAGATTTATGCTGTCCCATCACAATATCAATGAAAGTAAAGGTGAGCCTATTGTTCGCAAGTCGTTACGTCAAACATAAAGGTGAGGCTAGACGTGACTGATGACGTCATATAGATGAGTTAAGTTGGAGTTTTTTTCACAATGCGATCGTGAAAAGGGAAAGTGGTGATGAATGGGTACCACGTTCTTTTTGTTTGCAAGCGAGTAAAGCTATACACAAAGGTTTTTTGTATCGATATTTTAGCTTATTCTTCACGTCTACTAAGAATAGCTATTATCTTTGTAATTAATAGAGGTTTTTTAATTATAAAAATAATGTTCGGTTAAAATAGGAACACGGGTTTGATATTTTTAAACAAGTATAGTATTTCTCTGAGTAAACAAGGCTAACATAAAAATAGTGATTGTTCCACCAATATTCGCATAGCTCTTAAATTTTCAGAAGGTTTTCGGAAAATCCGTTCATAGGATTCAATTCAACACTTACAAATTTAAAAATTTGCATGTTCTAAACAAACAGTTTGATAATATATTTTAAAAACGAATATTATAAAGGTTTTAGGACATCTGAAAATTACATTAAATGTTAGGTAAGTTTTACACAAGCTTGTATTCTTGGGTTATGTCTGGTACAAATGGCAATCATGTCATCCAAAGACAGCGATGTCTAAATTTTTGAAGCTCAAATTTAACCCATAGTTCAGAATAGACATGGAAATTATTGCTACTTTTAAATCATTTTCATTGGGTAAAATGATTGGCTTTAGTCACAGCGATTCACATGTGATTGTGATTACGTTTAGAGACAAAGATAAATGGCATTGAAATCAATCAAAATTCTTTTTATCAAAGATAACGATTTTTTTTTAGATTTAGGCCTTTTGCGAGCCTTACGCTAGCGTGATAATCATAATAATTAAGTCGATCGATCCATTATCCTTTGGGGTAATTCAACATATGCGATGCATCAGGACATTCTCATTTACTATCAAACAGATAATACGGTTAACTTTTTCATTAATTAAAAAAAAGGGTATTTTCAAAAAGGATAAGACAATAAATAATAATAATAATGCACAATTTTACTTGGTTTTTTGTCATAATGGGTGAAAATGTAACACAGCGATACGTCATTATAACCGAAAGGACTTCAGACCGCTCAGTCGTAGTTATGTTTTCTGCTTAATGAGCGTGTTGAGTTTCATATTACAATTAAATATAGACTGACCAACATTAATGACGTAGTGAATCCTGTCTGAATTGGGGATTGTATGTTATTGTATACAGATAAGAAGCTTTGTTGATGTTTAACGTAGACAACTCTCGTTTATTTTAGGCATCGACGCTGCAAAGGCAAAAACTTCACTATAAATTTGGTTATCTACCTATAATTTAGATAAAACCGGTACCTATGAACAGTAATACTGTTGTGTAATACCTGTACTTGTCGTTCATTATTCAAATGTAAAATATATTTCGGATAAACAAAAACATCATAAAAGAATATAAATCTCAAGCAATGAATCGTGCTTGTATTATGTCCATGCACAAAGCTTCGTCATTATGCGTGATCTTTAGTTAAATTTATCACTTACCGTACTGATTATAAATTTAATCGCGAGAGAGCCATGGGCAGAGCAACGCATTTGAAAAAAAAAGTAAAAGATTCGTGCGAAAATAACACAGTGCCATAGTTTCAGGAACACCAATGATCTCAGTTAATTAGTCTGTCTGTTTGTGCGCAAAATACGAATAAGAGGTGAGCATGGAGGATTATTTTTTAAACAATTGGAGTTTTAATTGATTGAAGCCCAAAGTAGCGCTTAACAAATACCCGAAGGATATTAATAGCAGCTCTTTAGGACTGCAAGGAAGACAAACCCTTAAAAAAATCAATATTTGGATTCAAATGTAGACTATTTGGTTTAACATCGGCTATGTTTCAGACCGGAGAGGAAAAGTAACCAGGTTCCTTTGCTTTTAGCATCAAAAATGCAAAACCTTAAGTCATTCTCGTTCGATATCTAATATTTAATTGCTCTAAACCATCAGTTTACTTTTTTAATAGTAATTTTAATAGACTAGTTTTTTCCTAGTATCTCTTTTTTCTTCAATGGAGTTAACATGTGAATCCTTGAGACATCCGATAAATGGCAAAGAGATGTTCGAGCGTGGGCACAAATTTCTTTTTTTTTGTTTTAAAATGACCACTCCCGCACTACTAATAAATCCTGTGTCGCGGGGGACTTTACAAACATACATGAAACGGACACAAAGAACACCCAGACTCAGAACAACAATTTGTGAATCACACAAAATGTCGTCCCATGTGGGAATCGGACCCACAACACTCAGCGTAGTAGTGAGTGGCGTGGCGACCGCTTAAACCACTACGCCATCCGTGCAGATCCTTATTCGTGCAGCTTTATTAAATCAGTCCAGAATAACTTAAAAATTCAACATTTGACCTTCTAAATTTAAATACACGAGTGACGTAGATTGTAGACTAGTGTGTTGTACAGTAAATAAAAAAGTACGAACCTGTTGGCGGCGTGACGGGACGAACACGGTCGAGGGAGTGACGGGAAACTTCCAATATTGGGTTGCTAATGTCATTAGCATTGGCCCCAATATTGGTTGTTTTTACCAGTAGAATTGTTTTAGCAGCTATCGGTCACGTTATGCACGGATCAATTAGTTTCTGTTCTGATTCGGTTGATACTTTAAAATCATATTTTTCTGTAAATATCAAGTAAGCAAAAAGGTCGTTCGAAAATATTTAACATTAAAAAAGTTCACCCTCGATAAATATTTCTATAACGAGTATGTATACATATATTTAAATAACTAGTTACGTTTTGCAATTTGATTACAAATGAATTACGAAAGTATGTGCACAGATTAACATGTCCTTCCTCAATTAAAGTTAAAACACAACTGTACTTGGACAGCGAATATCAGAGGTTGGTGAAGTTTAGGCACGAATGAGTATTGGTGATAACATAACCAATGTTGGTGTCGGCGGACTAGGGCGGGCGGTAGAACCTCCCTTCATTCCACGTTTTAGTGTCGGGGGTGCGCGTCGCGTCCGCTCTAAAGGGCGAAACTTCTCTCGTGATCGATTTAATATGAACTGTGTTTTAAATTCAATTACTGTGCAATTAACTGCAGTGAAAATGATAAAGAACTGGTTCTAATTTGTAATTTTATCACTAAACAAGTTAGTCGAACTTTGAGGTATGTTAAATATATGCAAACTCACACGACTGTGTTAAAATTTTTGCCTTAATTAAATAAAAAAAAATAAAAAATATTAATGCAGTATTAATAATAGCTTAGAAATAATACATCAAAATACTTTTCATTAGTCTTAAAACTTTAAAGGACGGTTATGTTTTACTCATGTCTCAATACATTGTTTTTCAACAATTGTAATACGATATTTAAAATGTAAATTGTAATGCAAAATTTCTTTGTATCCTGAAATTAAATACTTTTTTTATGTAAAATATTATACACTGACTAACTAACTAACGTTCTGACTTTTTGAGTAAATTTTAGAGTGACTCCGTGCACTTTTTTCTTTGGTTTCTAAATGCGCGATGGGTATTACATACAATGTTTACAGTGTTTCGAGGTAATCATTAAAGAATGCGGTAACTGGTTCTCGTTCTCTAAACAATGTTGTAAGGGCTCAGTTAAATACATTAATTTTAAGCCGCAATGTTAAATGTTTTCATTTTCAACTGTACTGTTGCATAAGGTTTTTTATTTTTTTTATTAGTTTTAATAGTTAACGAGCTTAATTATCTTAGGTTAGATTTACAATGACTTCTCACCGTTAAACTAAATACCGTTTAAACACCGTTGTGTAACACTTTAAAAACTAAAAAAGTAATACGTATATATTTTATTGAAATAAAAATAAGCTGTTTTTATATTTACATTGATTTAATTTTAGTAACCATCGCGTAAATACCAATTCAATAATATACTAATACAGTGCATGCAATAAACTAATGCTCTACTACACGGCCATCCATGAATAACTTTCAGCTATAACTTGCCTAAACAGGCATTATAGGGTACAGGAAAGTTTTATATCGAATCTGTTTTATGGTATAGGAAGGTAACACAAAAGCGTTAAAGTTTTAGAAGGTAGACAATTTATTATTTGTAAGATTTAAACAAAGTAGCACATAAAAGTGTACATATTCTTCTGTATATTTAAAAGTATTTTAAAAAGTATATTTAAAAAGTATATTTTGTTAGATGTCTCAAGTAAAATATCAAACACCATTATAATTTCAAAAAAATATCAAAGATTTTAATGCACTCCTGTTTTCTTAATCCCTAACTTTTCACTCATACGGGTAGTCTTTTTTCAAATTTTAATAAGACCAAATAGGAAGCATGTCTCCAAATAAAAAATAATTTTCCAAAACATTTATGTAGTAGTTAAGTCAGACAAAACACTACAAATTTACTAGATAAGATGTTGATAAACTCTGTAATCCTAGTATTTATTTGTTCTAGATCTCCCAAAATGATTTCGAACTGACACATTCCTTGAAAACTCAATGGAAACTGGCAAAGAAAGAGTGTACTGCCACAACTTAAAGAAGAAACTTTGAAGAGAAAATTGAAAAGAGAGAAAAATTTATTTGTGGCAGCAGTCGCGCAGGCGGCTCCGTGTGGTACGGCTGTGGCTCATTGGCGCCGCTTGTGGCTGGTGGCGGGCTTCGGTGCTGTCGCTGGTCAGCGCAGCCCGCTCGGCTGGGCGATGGGCAGCGCACCTCGACTAGCTGCGGTTGCAGCCGTCTCACACGCGAGACTCTACAATCACACACAACCCCATGTCACACAAGCGGAGCCGTCGAATTTCAATGTCAATATATTCTTCGTCAGGTAAGTGTTATGCAGAAAGCATGCGTGTTACTTATTGATTTACAACGTGATTAAATATCGTGATTAGAATTAAAAAAGAAAAACTTTATGTTTGCAATTTATGAAATAAATATAATTTTTGACATTTTAGGAGAATATAAAATTTCGTGAAGTCAAAATCATATTATAAGTATTTAATTATAATCTGTTTGCAGTTTGCTAACATATCGCCAATTGACAGCGAACACAGTTCAAGTTGGTAGAAATAACCTAAATCAAACATTCCGATTGTAAACTCTCATAAGGAAAGAAATACTAAACTGGTAAAATAAAAAGCGAACTCATAAAATTATATATGATATCCGATAATTTAATTTAAAACTATATAGTGAGTAGAGCCAGGGTTACAAGTACGTCATAACTTCTTTATGGTGATACGAAGACTGGTCCGCCATATTTCAATTTCGAATAACGACTGGTCACCCATACACGTTTAATGGCTAGTTAGCCCAGCTTTCCCGGTATTTTCTGCTGATAGATTTAATGATAAGCTTCTCAGTCCACGCCGAAGTATGGAGCCAATAACATTTTAAATATAATCCGAATAAAGATCACCCAGCATTATGCATTTAAAATTAGTTCATTGAGCTTTTGGTTATTTAATGTTTTACAGCCGTGATATAAAGAAATTGTCGTAATATTTCAGTTATTGATTTGAAAATACCTTTTTTGACACTATGTTTATTACAAAATGTGAATCTTAATCTCTCTTAAGAATCTCTCAAGACAATATAAGTCTCTTACTGGCATTATTAATTTGTTACACGAGAATTTGGCCTCGACATGTATTATATTTAGAATAAAAACATTGGATATTATTAGCTCACATTATTTCTTTGAGGAATTTAAATTACAATGATTGTCAAAGCTAAGACAAAATTGTTGCTTTACATTGCCGGGAAATAAGAGTCGTGATGTATTTAATTAAGTATCAAATTACATTTCTATGGAACTTTCAGAATGTTGTGACCTATATTTCTAATTTACGAGGAGGCTTAAGCGTAAGTATAACTTAGGATAATTCTGTATCATTTTGATGTTATGTAAACACCAGGTGTACTCTGCGAGCTTTCAAAATTATATTAAATGAAAGAGCTGGTTGTTTTTTTTTGGATTATGGTAGCTTTCTAAGTGATTCATTAAGGGTTATATTGAGCACATTCTATGATATTTATTGTTTGGGTTTTATTTTAGCGACATAAAACCAACATAAGCTTGAAAAAAGAAACTTATAGTCATTGTACTCAAAATGGCATAATAGCGATCGATACTTAATAAAATATATTCCAAAAACCTTCTTGTATTATCAAAAACATAGAGTATGTATGTATTTTACATGTGTGTGTTTTACACATACATATGTTTTGATTTTACGCATCTTATGTACATTTCAAATTTAATTACAACTGTGGCACAGTAGGGACATCCCTTCTGTGTCCCAAGTTAGTTCCAATTTAGTTTTGGACGGTAGCCACTAACTCGACGCGTGATTCCTAATATAGACACTTAAGACAGTTTGATTTGATTCTTAGCGGTCCGAAATGTTGTTACAAGTCTTTTCAAAATAACAGACTTTAATGTGTTGATTATCTGATTAATTAAAGCTTTCATTAACGAGTAACGCCCTTATAACTAAAATGGACGATATTTCGACGAATTAGGACGGTGTCATCAGAATAACACTTTAGGAGTATCTTTATTATTTATGTTTTATAATATATATATATTATATTTTGATATTTATACTATAATATAGTATGTATAAACCATATGTAAAGCGCTGGTAGCTTCAAAAACTTCAAAAACAAGCTTGCTATTTCAACTTGCTATACTTGAGAGATATTGATTGAGAGATATTATTTTCAAGATGCAGAAAAGATGTGTTAGAGCTATGTTTGCCTTGAAAACTACAGATAGCTGCCGTTCTTACTTTCTTACGTTCTTACTTAAATACAAAATATTAACTTTGTCCTCCTTATACATATTTAAAGTGGCTATATTTGTTAAACGTAATCAAGGTTTATTTATGTTGGCATTAGATTTATATAACAGACGACAGCGAGATGTGCATCGACATTGCGTGCGTAAAACCAATACTGCATTGTTGCGTAAAAGTATTTTCCATATGGCATCCCTTACAAACAATAAACTGCCAAAAACAGTAAAGGAAGCAGACTTTAATATGTTCAAGAAAAAAATAAGTGAATTATTGGTAAACAAATGCTATTATACTCTAAAGGATCATCTAAACGACAAATTCCACGATGACATTTAAACTGATTTATATTATTACGAGTATTAGATTAACGTCTCTTTGCGAACAATATTCTTAATTTTCATTAGGCCTCGTTGCTGTGATTGTAATAGCAAAACATTTATTAATTATTCATTTGAATGACAATTGACTTACTATTTTTATTTTATAACTGACTACGCTTGTGTTTTTTTCTGCCCTATGATTTGTTATTTAATTATTTGTATTGACCTAATCATGCTTTTTTTTAGTCTGCTTGACATAATTATTTTATTAATGTTTTTGCATGCCACTATTATGTTCAAAATATTTGTATCTACTACTACCCATTGTAACACCATTAGTCACAATATTTTTGCAAATAAATATGATTTTGAGTAAGTTTGACATTTGATCGAACAAAACACGAAACAAAACATGTCATCTTGTCTAAATCGACTTGAGACTTGTAATCCATAGTTTGTAATTTAATTATAACAAGTATCGAAAATTTAAAACAAGAACGTCAAAAATCTATTTCATAGACACAAACATACATAAATAAGTTATGTTAATCGTAACGACTAAAGTATCTGTTGTAAATCTAAAAGGGATTAACTATTAAGTATTCGTTCAAGAATATATTGCCGGGGCCATATATTTGCCTTATGTACATATATTGCGGATGTTACGTATAATATGCGCGAATATCAAACTTGGTATGTCTAGGTATTAAAAGCCATGACTTTTTTCTGGAATTTTCTTTCATTACTTCATTAGTGCTCCTTAGGTACACTTTGAATATGATTTTTAACATCGTCGAAGCAAGATGTCTTACTCCTAGAAAGACAACCTCTGACGGGTCTGAAACTAGTCCGAACTACCAAAATACACACTCAAAGTTTTTTTTTTTTACTTTTCGCTTTAATATCCATAAAGGCGATAATAAACCACGTGTGTGGTGTACTTAAAGGATCCATTTGCAGTTTCAGGAGGAAAATGCAAAAATTTATTAATGTAAGACGACACTAAGAGGATTTGTATAATGAAAGGTCAAATATAGCACAATATTAGTTTTGCAACTTGGTAAACCTTTTAGCGTTTATTTGCAGCACGTTAATAAATAAAACTTAAGCGTGATCCACTTGGTGTGGATACCCTCCCCGTCAGTTCACCGAGGCAAAACGGTAAGGTGGTATATCGGACTCGAACCGACTCAGTGCTCGACCATCAGATCATTACTGGGGTTTACGATAGGAAGATTTTGAAAATCGACAAGTGAATAACCTAAACATTTAAAATTCTGGAATTCGTTATTTAAAATTCTAAATTCTGAAAAACGATTACATTCTGCGTAGTTTTACATCATCATCAGCCTATCGCAGTCCACTGCTGGACATAGGTCTCTCCCATTGCACGCCACTTATATAAGTGTTAACACTAAGTGAAATGAGAGTTTAATAAATTTATAAGTAATGAGGTTTGCTCATACATACACTAATTCGGTATCGAAAGCCAGATCAGTGAAACTAGTAAATGCAGTTGATGGCTAATTAAGTTTGAAAAGCTCAAGTAATTAACATTAAGACTGGAATAAGGGATGTCACAGCGCTTTATTAAATGCAATGAAATAAATAAGCCATTTAAAAAAGAAAGGAATGAATATGATAAGCATTTGAGAATAGGCTTATTTGTAAGAGAAACAGAAAAATTATGTCATATTAACATTAAAATTATATTTTTGGGCAAAGCCATCTATTTTATTGAGGACGTTTAAAATTTGCAAGCCCAAAGCAATTTTTCTTTGAGATTTAACAAGATCTATTAAAAATTTTGGTAGGTAAATGTAGTATGAACTATACTTAATAAAGTGTACTTGAATAGCACTAAAAAATATCATGTGCCAATCCTAGTGGAAACTATCGGAAACCAAACAATTTCAGAAAGATTTGGCTAGTAATAGCATTGACATATTTACGTAATTGCATGATTAGTATAAATAATATCTCTTGGTATTTTACATAACATTATATGCAAATATAACAAGTCAACTCTAACACCTTACAGGGATAACTTGGAGAGAGATATAGATAGGAGAAAGAGAAAACAGCAGTGAGAGTAAAAAATTTACCGAATACGATGTAAAACACAGAGAAGATATGAAGAGTCTTATTTTTTTTGTATTTTCGACTGCCCTGTTGGTCTAGTGGTTAGTGACCCTGACTGCTATGCCAGAGGTCGTGGGTTCGATTCCCACTCAGTACAAATAATAGTGTGATAAGCACGGTCATTTGTTCTGTGTCTGGGTGTACTTTATCTACAATATGTATGCATTTAGAACTATATATATAAATGTTTATCAGCAGTCTGGTTACCATAGTACAGGCTCTGCCTAGTTTGGGATCAGACGGCCGTGTCTGAAATGTGTGAAAATATAAAAAAAACAAAAAAAACTCACCACAAACAATGTTATTTCCCCTGCAAAATTTACACTGTCTCTCAAGTAATAGCTTGTATGCACTTACTTAAGTGTGAATTAATATTTATTACGCTATTTTGAATACAAGAGCGCACATGTTAATGCAGTGCCGGTATTATACGATGGTGCAACTAGGTCTAGGCTATATAAAACTATGTACTGTTTATCGTTAATAATGCGAATAAGCTAGTGGAATACCAAGGTACTACATAGCAAGCCGCATAGCAGGTACTCTATAGCAACATAGTA